GGGGGGGGGGGAGTAAAGCCAAGAGGGAAATACCTGCTCTTTGGGGACACACTTACTTATAATTATAGAAGTTTCAAAATTAGGAGGAACAATAAAAGCCCCCCAACTGGTTTATTTATTTATTTAAGTATGAAAAATGTTTTCCTTCCAAAAAAAGGCTTACAGAGAAAACCATGCATCTTGCTATCTTTCCTTTTACAGATGGGTGAACAGAGGCCCAAGAGGATGGAAACAATTGTTTTTTTCACCACCAGCATCCCCTTTAATAAAACATGGAAGGTTGTTTGGAATATAGGGCTTCTGGGGCTTCTGACCCTAAGGCCAGGGCCAACCTTACCCTCCCAACACCCGCTGACTGACTGCAAAGAGGCTGTCCCCTGGTTCCCTACCACACACACTCTCCCATTCCGGCCTTGCACTGGCAAGGGAGCCCAGGTATATTTTCTGGGAGGGGGTAGCACCTGTAGTCCTCTCTAGTTCCTGTAACAGGGGGACATATTCTCCTGACCCAAAAAAAATACTGCGAACCAGACAGAGGCCCACCTTCGGTCATCTCTCTCAGGCGCTGGCTCCCAGTGGTCATAATTTGTCTCAACTCGGAACCACCTACAACACAGCACATTATCTTATCAAGGTCACTGGAGACATAAGTAAAGAAGAAATATATAAAAATAGAAAATATCTCCATTTCATCAATTAAAAACAGATTATTAATACAAAATGACCAGAGCCTTTAATTCTACTTACGCTCCATTTAAAGGATCTAGAGGCCAAATGTCGGCCGGGCCATTTCTGTTCCTTGTGATGACCACTCCTTCCCGGGGGGACACGCCACCAACAATGTAATACACATCGGCAATAAGGGGAGTCTTGGCCAGTGTTTGAACAGCTACTTCGAAGTTTTCTGATTCACTCAGGGTCTGAACAGAGAGACAAACCTGCATCAGCATCGTCATTCACACCGATCGATGGACACGTGGTCCAAGCAGATCCTCCTGGTATATTAACCCACGATCCCAATCTTGAACTGCCCTGGCTTCATCTTCCTGTCATCAGGCCTCCTGAAACGGAGGAGCTTCAGTGGGCAGCCAACACTCAGTGTGAACAAGGAAACGATGCTATGGAAGCCAACGCAAGGGACCATCCTCACCCAGGGCATCGAGGAGGCATCTCAGGGGGTATCACGCGCACTGAGACCAGAGAGGCAGAAGTTAGGCGGGTGAAAGGGGCGGCTG